CCACCATGGTTGGGGCTGAAGTAAGAACATTTATGATTATGGCACCTTTGGATGGCCGGATATGGCACTCGCTGATTTAAACGAGAATAATATTTCTAGTGAGAAACCATAAAGAGAGAATATGAGTTTTGTACTTGGTTCTTATCTTCTTACGTGACCTAGCCCTCATTCTATTAGTCCATCTACCTTAGTGATAACCGATATACTAATTTTTGTTCATTTACGTGATTTACATGGTATTCGTGTTACATGGGCATCAGTAGGTGGGGAACAGTGGGACATGTTCTCTCAAATTGAATCCGACCCCTTTCATGACTCTATATACTCGCGAAAGAAAAGTGCTGTATATAGGAACCCTCAGGTTCCTCCAGGGAACTTCCCCCACGCCCCAAGAGCCAATAGGTGTTATGCCACTGCTTTGCACATAGGCCTAGTCATTTTTAAACAGTGATTTTTATTATGACTTTTTTCTTACAAGTGATCTTGAATCTTCTGCCCTACTTTTTTAAACAAACCCTCATGTTGAATAACGTGCCCGATCCACTTCTTTTTTGTCGCTTTCTCATTATTTTTATTAACTTTCTATTTTCAATCAGTCAGTGGCGTAACGCCTACCGCTATGCGCTCTCGGGAGGTACGCAGGGCCCCGACACATAGGGGCCCCGAAATGCCCCATCCATGGTCCTCGATCAACTCCCTCACCAAAAAGGGTTTTGTTGATATTTAACAGCATAATGTGTCTCTGACATCGACTGTAGGAAAAATATCCCGCCATCAACAGATGCCACAATCATAACATGCCCCAACCATCGTAGGGCTGATCAGGTGGTAGACCCTCTGACTCTGAAGGTTCCTACCTGGTCCCCATCTATATCAAATTGCTGGATCCACCACTGATATTATATCATTTATTCTTCGTTAAAAATATTTAGAATAACAATAACAAGCATGATTAAAAAACGAGCCCAACGGTGTCTCCATAAATTTGCCAACAAGGGGTCCATGTAAGGTTCACGGGAGAGTTGAGAGCTTAGTATGGACCAAAAATTGAGCTTTTAGACCACAACAATTGTGATTGGCAATCAAAATAACGTTATTTTGATAGGCAAATGATATTTGTTTAATTCAACGACACGTTGGCCGACGAGGTACAAGCCTGTCAGACGGGGGAAATTCCATTGCGCCCCCCCCCCCTCTGCTGGTGCCACTACTGAAAGGGCCCCAGGCTCTGAAAGCCACAAGGCCCCCGACCCCATCGTTACGCCACTGCAGTCAGTAGAAAAGATCACTTGATAATAAATTTGGTAAGGGGAAAACCCTTCACGAGGTTTCATCTCTTAAAATTAAGCCGTTTTAAATGTATTGATGCACTTGTAGCAAGCTAGCTCTTTATAAAGCTTTTCGTGATAATCTTTTAAAATTCTAATTAATCTTACTCTTTAAATATTCCATGATAAAGATGACTGACATCCGTCCTCCCCCTATTGTAGAATACACAAGGAATATCTGGATAATCAACTTTCTGAAAAATTCGTGTTTTGTCACTCATTTTTTCTTTCTGTCCCTTCTAATTTCAAAATGTATCCTTGGGGTTTTTTTTATTAACTTATTTCCTTTTGTTCAAGTCATCTATAAGGGGTTTTTTTTACATCTTCCTCCGTCGAACAAACTTTATATATACTATTCTATTGTTTAGATTATCTTTATGTGAATTACAATATAATTGATTTAGTTATTATGAATGAATCACTTCTAATGATTATACGAAACAAAATTTGTAGTAAAATAAAAGTATGACGTAGACAAGTTTATATTTCTCTTTGTTAATGTATATATATATACATATATGT